CCTTTAATCCATATCAAAACTGAATTAGTTGTCAATCCCTTGTTTGGCACTCATAAAGTGCCAGTAAAGATTGCTTCCTCCGGGTTAAGCAAATAGGGTTGGAGTACATGAGCGGAACATACTACCTTGCATACAATGTTCCATATCCTTTCTCAGATGCTTTGTGTACATAGTGGGTTCTATTAGATCTTGGGCCAAAAGGAAATCAATCCTGCAAACAAGAAGGAAAAAAGGAAAAATAGAAAGAGATTCTTTATGGAATCAGAAGATCCTTCTACATTGTCCTGATTTTGGGGCTGCTGGGAATTGGAATCCAGCAACACTGGGTGGGCCAAAAGTCCCCCAGTGCTCCAATGGAGGGAAAATCCTGCAAGGTGGGTGATGGAGACATGGAAGTCTCATGCCCCAGAAAAATCTTTCTGCTGCAGAATAACTAATTTGGATCCAACAGCTTGTAAAGAAACACTTTTAGAACACTAACCTTGCCAAATCCTGCCTGTCTGGATTTTGTTCCACTGCAAAGGTGCTTTGATATACATAATTCTACCTTGTCTTCTCATCAACTCTCCAAAAATAATCATTCCTTGCAGCCTCCAGATCATATGGGTTCTCCTTTCTGCACCTTTCCTGGTTTACGGTAGCCTCTCTGAGGTTTAGTGAGCAGAACTGCACGCTGCATTTGAAGCGTGGTCTCCCTATCGATTTGTATAAAAAGCACCCCATTGGCAGCGTTTTCCCCTTCCCTGAAATTTGCCTTTCCTGCACACGCCTGCATCTTGCACAGTCAACATTTGGAAGGCCTCAGCAGTCATAGGCCACCTATAAATATGTGTATAAATAAATACATTTTCACCCAGTAATTTACCACCTATTTCTTTTCTGGTCAGCCATTGCCAGCTCTGACCTCACCTGTGTATATGCTATAGCCAGTAACAAGGCAAAATTTGTGCTGGAATGGATTCAGGACTTACATGAGAAGAAGACAGCCAATTGCCTGCCCTTGCTTCTCTCCGGCAGGGTGGGCGGTTTGTCCAGATGTTGTGGGAGAATAGCTCCAGCCGGCCAGCATGACCAATGGTGATGCAGTGTGGGTGTTGCATCCCAACGTTGCCCACCACTGTCTGCTGGGAGCATCCGCCCATGCCCAAAAGGGGAGATGTGGAATGCGAATCCCAGTGTGGGCTTCTGTGCATCTGTCGCCACCCGCACCTGCTCCAAGAGACGTGTGATCTGGCCATGGTCATGCACACCTGACCTTCATGCATCCCATGTGGACTCCAGCAGCACTCTTTACACAGGCCTTGCTCTGAAAGCTTCACCTGATTCAGAATGCCGTGGCCAGGTGCCTGGAGCCCCTTACAGTGAGTCCAGGGCTGCCTTGTGGCAACAGATTCATTGACTGCACGTCTGCTTCCCAGCAGAAGCCAAGACTTGGGCCTGGGCTGCTTGAAAGAGTGCTACCTTCCCTACAGCCCTGTGCAGTCCTTAAGATCTTCTTTGGAGGCCACGGCCTTTGAGACCACGGATGGTGGACACCAAGAGAGGGCCTTTTAAGCCACCAGTGCCGGGCTGTTAGACTCCCTCCAAAAGGCGGCTTCTGCCACCAGGCAAAGGTGTCATTCGAGAAGGCCTGTGGCCAACAGTGGGGCTGTTGTTCTGGGCGCTGCTTTGGATTTTTTATTGTGAAATTGGGACGTGTTTGTTGTATTTTAACACATTCTTTTTGCTGATTATGTGCCATTTTTGGTAGAGGAGGTACAAATCAAGGAAGTGAATAAATAATATATAGTTTGGGAGATGAAAGCAGGCTAGTTTGCTGACTGGAAACGATCAACTTGCCTACGCTAAAACAAGGGCGGGGACAGCGGAAGGGCACTAGGACCGCCAAGTGTGGAATTGCAGGCTGGTGCTGAAATGACCACCATATTCGAACAAGCTACTCTGTGCTGACAGTTGCGTGTGGGTCGGCACTTCTGCACTTCCTTAAAGGTGGGATTTCAGAGAGACATTGCTTATTGCTGGCCTCTCTCTTCAGTCCCCCAGAGCAAGAGGCTGTCATGATTAAAAGCGGCAGCTTCTCATGCCCCACAGGTGCCCTGCACGTTCCGCAAAGGATGCTACGCAGAGCCCAGAAGCTGTTTTCCAATTTGGCAGATCTTTTGCTGAGCATCCCTCTCACACAAGCTGGTTCTTAGCGTGACTCTAACACAGCAGGAAGTAAAGTTCTCAGAAGGTCACTAGTTGCACCGGTCAAACTTCCTACCATTTGGTATGTGCTTCCAGCTGGGCAGGACATGGCGAAGGCAACCGATATCCAAGCCATGCAGCTGATGTCAAAGAAATGGCAAAGGTATCACCTTCAGTTAAAACATTTCATGAAGTCAAGGGCATCATCCATTCTCACCCCAAATAGCTCATTACAATCATTTGTCTTACATGGGAAGAGAGTTTAGGGCGGCTGCTCTGTTTCTAGGGAGCCCCCGTCTCCGCAGGTGCCAGTATTGCAGAGTTCCTGTCTCCTTTTAAAAGACTTTGGTAGTTATCAGCCACTGATTCCAGTATTGTTTTATTCTTTTTTTCTTGATTTATCTTTTATCATTCACCACTCTGGAATCTTTGTAGGGATCTATAAATGTAGCAAATAAACAAACAAATAAGCAAAGTGAGACCCTGTCCTGGAAGGTTTAAGACTTAAAAACACCACTACTCCGACTCATGATATTGGTTAAATTAAGGAAGAAGAGTTAGTCGTTTGGAGGCAAAGGATTTTAAAATGAGAGGAGGCATTGCTGGCATGCACGCCTCAATAATACTTAGGATTTAGATCAGGCATCTTCCCCCCAAAACAAACCAACAATGGAATTCTCAGCCATGGGAAGTGGTGATGGCCACCAACTCGGATGGTTTTAAAAGGGGATCAGACGGATTCATGGAGGAGGCGGCTATTGGTGCCTACTAGAGGTGGCCTGCCTGCACGTACCAGTTGCTGAGGAGCTGGGCAGGAGGAGGTCTGGCACCCATCCTGCTTGAGGGATGGGCAGCTGGGTTGCCACGGTGTGAATGGAGTGCTGGACTAGATGGACCTTTGGTCTGATGTGGCCTGGATTTTATTACGTTCTTATCAAGCAGATAAGAACACAGAGTTCAGACACAGAGTTAAATTAAACCAGCTGCCCTCTGCCCTTTCCACACCCTCCAGCTTCAAGATAATTCGACACACAAGTCTTGTGATGCAGATGGTGGTTGTGCAAGGTGATGCTTCAAGCTGTACACAAATACCAGAGAGAGATGCCATACAAGATAACGGATGCTTTGCTTGTGAGTGGGGTGCTTTTATGTGTACTTGTTCTGCACATGAAATATATTGTATTCACCACAAAACTGATGTAGGAAGGTCTCAGGAAGACCTTTTCCTTATTAAAAAACACATGGATGTGAACCTGAAGGCGGGAACTGGTGAAGAGAGGATGGACCATGACAGGTGAGTATCGTGATAAAAATAACAGTAGTCAGAGGAAATGATCGTAGGACATCTAAATTTGTTTGAAGGGCCACAGAAGAGTTCAGATTTCCAGCTCCGAGGCTGGAGACTGTGTTCCAACCCTAATCCTTTGTCCCCTTGCAGCCAGCATGGAGAAAGCTGTGCCAGCCACCTCAAAGAGGGGTTAAAGGCAGCATTTCGTGTGGAGGGGAGACTGGGGTAGCCAAGATTCAAGGAATCCTGAAGCCCCAGCAGCCTCTTTCTGTTCCCCTCTAAGCCATTGCTTAGCGCAATTGCTCCTGCTGGGGGCATGTTGTCATGATGGCTGGACCTGGTGAGGGTGGCTGGGGCACTTTGCAAGCCGTGGCTTGCTCTGGGGTTGCTGGGTGGGTTGTAAGCCAGCCCAGCTACCCCACCTCACTAGGTTTGGACATCGAGATAACTTGCACCCTGCAAGGGCAATGATGTGAATGAAGCTGTGCTCAACCAGCACATGTGGGGAATAAAATAAGAGCCACCATGGCTTACTTTCCCTCCCAGGACCATGTGAACCAGACCTCTACTTGGGACTGAACAGTTTCGATCGCTCAATCGGCACAATCTGATGGTGCTCCAATGAATTAAAATGTATTTGTGGTCAATATTCTGCTCTCTAGCACAGCAAATGGAGCAATCTCAGGAGCAGAATCAGGACTACAGTGGGTGGGCAGAGTGGCCAAAAACCACCTCTTCCAAAGCCCTCCTCTTACAGCAGCCATGGCAGGCCCCGAGTGGTCATATCCTTTTTCTTTTCCTTGTGTCTCTCTCTCCTCCCCAGCCCTCCACTGATTTCACTGGGGAAAAGCACTAGGTTCTCGGCTGGCATAATTAAGCGGGCCTATCCTGGGGGTCCTGGAGATAATGATGGGATCCTGAACCCAGCAGGTCAAGTGCTACCTCCAACCTGCCCTTGATTGGCGGCCTCCTGAGAGCAGAAACACGATCTGTGAGGCTCCTGCTCCATCCATTGTTATGCTAAATTCCAACCATTTTATAGACAGGGAATTGCATGTCCTCTGCTGTTGGGACAAAACTATGTGGATGCGAGCCACTAGGCTGCTTTAAAAGGGTCAGAGCAGCAAGGGCCAGCTGAAACCAACATCTTTACCCCCTCCTAGACAGGTCTCCCTTCACAGCACTATTTTTATTTCAGGGCAAGTACAAGTACAATAAAAGGTAGACCATCAGAAGCAAACATGCCTCCCGTCATGCATCTCATAGGGCCTAAAGGCACTTCATTATTCTTCCTTGTTATTATATGGGTTTCATTCTAGTGGGTCTTTATGTGCACTTGAGAAAGCATGCGTGCCCCGTGGGGATTTCTGGTTTTAAAGAGCAAGCCAGTAATGGCAGATCACAAAGCTGAAGGCAGCCTGAATGCAGGAGGCAATGAAAGAGAGCCACAATTTTGATCATTAAGGAAAGGGAACAACAAAGCCTTCTACAACCCAATCACACAGTACAAAATTCACCAGCATACTTCCAAATTGCACAAAATTTTTATTTGCATTAATCTAGTACATCTAGATTACTTTAGGGACTAGACTGAAGTAAACTTATACTTTGGCGAGTTCAATTGTTAAAAACCAAACCAAATCACTTTCCACTCTTAAAAAAAAAAAAAAGATTTGAAAAGACCATGAATTACCATAATGGTAGAAGAAATAATTGGACTTACATAGTTTTGATAAAAGCAGAGAATTTTACACATACTTTAGTGGTCTTAACAGTACTGCATTTGAACAGAGCACAACAACTCAGAGAAAGTGAATATATTCAAAGCTGAAAAAAAGACAACAAAGATGACAAGCATTCAGATGTCACAAGAAATGTTCTCCAACCTGCTGTTTTGTATGCATACGACCATAAAGGTTAAACCTGTCCTGACTCAACACAGGCATTCAAATACTCATGGAAACTTTGTGTGAGCCTCCTCCTTTGCAATTCTGCATACAGAGTATTTGCTGCATTGACAAGAGTAGCCCAACCATCACTCTCCCAGAGCTCTGTGGGTTTCCTGGAATTCTGAAAAGCTTTGGAAGTGTCCCTAGTGTAGGACAATCTTTAGTTATGACATAATACTGTGTGGAAAAGACATTTGATGCCCTACCTTTCATCTGATCATATGATCCTTCCTGCAAGTTGTATATAAGTGCACCAAATTCTAATCTACATAACAACACACTGGCAAGCCTAGAAGATTCCTATTACCTTGACCCCACCCCCCACCCCGTTCCCCAAATCTCTAGAATACAGACCTACTGTTCTGACAGGCAAAATATCCAGAATAAAATCTGAAAAGGCAACATGTTCTGTTTTAGTTTTTAAAACACTGACATGAAAAAGAGCAAGATAGAAAAAGAATAAATTCAATCTTAATATAAGACATTCATAGTACAGTGGGACATGCTACAGTAACTGGACAACAGTAGTTACAATACGGATTCTAACTTTTGTTTTTTAATGCACGTGTTCTACAATCAAATTGCTATTACATTTCATTGTCCCAGGTGCTTAGGAGCAGCATACCTAAAGCCTAGTTTTGCTACTTTGTCCCAGGCTCTTCAAGCTTCCCTCCCTGAAAAGGCCATTTAGGTGTATCATAACCAGTAACTATAAGTACTCAAAAGTTTTATTAGCAATCATTTCTTTTAAAAAATGATAGAAGTAATAAGACTATGTCCAAGAGGAGCCATTTTCCTATACTAGCAATCTTGAACACTCTAGGGATGCAAACCTAAATGCATTTACTAGGGAGTAAGCCCCACTGAACAAAATAAGACTTGCGTCTGAGTAAACATACATAAGATTGCAATGGACACACAGTTTGAGCACCAAAGTATCTTATGCATCTACAAAATTACTGACTCTTTAAAATAATTTAGATTTTACAGTAGTTTGTTGATGGCCACCGGTATTGCTAGAACCAAAATTTCGAGAATGCTTTTGCATACAATCTCCTCCAGAAATTGCACTGCATGATGGATTTCACATGTTAGCTAGCATAACATTTATTCTTCAATAAACCCAAATTAGGCAATTTAGTTTACAGTGGAGGGTAGCAGGTTTTCAGGTTAAAGCTTGGCAGAGCCAATTTTGAAATTCATAATTATCAATTACATACTTGTTAAAAAAAACTTTGGAAGAGGTATATCTGTCAGGACAAAATGTGGAATGTAGCTTGAAAAGTTTCACTTTAAGTAACAACTGCAGAACAGCAATTGTGTGTACTTTTAAAATTCTGTTTAAAAATTGCTTTAATATAAAAGTCACATGAGTATAAGTGGTAGGGGGAGCTAAATTGATCTATCCATGATTTGTGTTTTATTAAATAGTTCATGGAAAAAGTAGAAAGCAACTTAAAAAATAGCATTTCTGCTATCGCATAAACTTCCACAATTCAAAACTGTAATTTCAAAAGTTTTATGTAGTTTAAAGTTGCAGAAATGAAACCCATTAATACATTTTAAAAAATTGTAAACATCAGGCCACTTGTCATTTTTACACTGTTTTCCCTGTTAATGTGGAATGGATCACTAATAATGCAGCGTGATGTTCTGAACCGCAACCCAAAGCTAGGCGTGCTTACACTCCATGCGCCCAACTTCATATGCTGGATTGCAGCCTCCACTTGCTGACAGTGGATGCGATACAAAAGGGACGTTTCTGTACAAGCCACACTGAAATTAACAAGAACCGTGCATCACTGTTCTTGCATAATTCCTATTTATTCCGGTGGTGGCTTCCCCAGAAAAAGTGCTTGGAGAATGATGTGCCCAGCACTTGATATATAAACGGTAATTCTAGGACACATTTTTGTCACTCCAGTTCACAGTAAAATGTGTTCAGAAAACTATCAAAGTCAGTGCATTTTTCCCTGTGCAATATATTTCACCACTTCCCCAGAATTCGTTTTACCCAAGTAATACTGCGCCAGAGGCTTCGTGCAGGTTGCAGGTGTACGCGTGCCTGTTTGTTTAATATCATAAGTGACGGATAATATCTGCAGGGCTTTTGTAAAGATACTTCCAGATAGCATAATAATGAACTGCAGCGGCCGTGGCAACAAACAGGTGCCAGATGGCATGTGCAAATGGAATGACTCCGTCACATTTGAAGAAGACGACTCCCGTGCAGTAGATCAAGCCTCCCCAGGCGAGTTCTTGCAGTCCGTCGGTGTTGTTCTGTGGATTAATCAGAAAGGTGGGAAAGGTGCTTTTGTGAGGCAATAGCTGCATACACGCAGATGGCCAAAAACACTACATAATACCATGGGTACGGAGTCGGCATAGATCTGTAACCACAAGCAATACGGGACATAAGCACAACACATCTCCTGCTAGAACGAACCAAAAGGCCACATCAACAACCATCCTGTTTTCCTACCGTAGCCCGTGTGGTGCTTCCAAGAAGTACAGACGGGACTGGACACAACCACTGTCTGTTTGCACCACAGCAGCTACTAATGAGTCAGAAGTTAATCATGTGTTGCTTCACGCAACTTGGGTCAGAAGTTAATCATGCGTTGTGTGAAGTTTTGCTTTGTTTATCCAGTCCGCTGCCAATCAGTAGCATTGCTTGACCTCAAGCTCTGGTATGATGGTGTGAGAAGCATCTTTATATGTACTTGCCCCACAGGATCCACAGAAGCTTAGAAAACAATCTTATTCTCCCCATAAACTTTGCTCTATTTTTTTTTCCAAATTAAGAATCCTCAAATACTTGAAGCAGCTTTTCTGAGGGCAAAGATTCAACACCCTGATGACCTTCTGTGTATCTTTTCCAACTTGGAAAAGATGCACATTACTTTATATAAAGGTTTTCCAATACCAGCAATTTTATTTTCAATTTTCTTCCTAATCCCACCTGACAACAGAATTAGCTTTTTTCACAGCCAACAGAGACTGAATTGACCTTTGCATAGAACTGTTCAGCCAAATCCCAGGGTAAGCCGTTTTTCCTACTGAATTTCGTTTACCCTTCTGTTGTTCATTCACTCTGTCTGAAAAGACCAAGTGCTGACTTCACATGCAAACATTTTTACTTTGAAAGGACATGTTCATGTTCATGTTCATGTTCATGTTCTCTCTCTCTCTCTCTCTCTCTCTCTCTCTCTCTCTCTGTGTGTGTGTGTGTGTGAGAGAGAGAGAGAGAGAGAGAGAGAGAGAGAGAGAGAGAGAGAGCGCGCGCGCGCGCGCGAACATAGGCTACCCTCTCCCCATGTTTCCCTATTTGCATGTCTTTGCAGCTGCCACTACACCACTATTTTTTCCTTCCTTGTACTCTTCTTATTCCTAGGTTTAAAATCGCAGCCAAACTGGAACAATTTCCAGAAGCGTGGCTCTGTTAAGCCAAAGAAAAGCTTGCAGCACTAGCCTAATGGAAATCTAATTGAATGGATATGTAAGGGTGAAATTAATTGTATCTGCATTGGGAACCTGAACAAGAAGGAGTGATTTATCAGTGCTATAAACACAGATGGCTTAAAAGCTAATGAGAAAAACTTGCATCCCGCCTCAACGGACAAGAAAGCACTTCCGCCAGACAAAGCAGCCTAAAGAAACTCCTGCTGCCGCCATGTCTTTCCTAACTCAACATGCCTTTTCCAAGTTGAGAGTTTTCTTCCTAAAGTAATTACGAAGCAGTAATTTCCTAACAAGATACAGTTAAAAGCAATTGAATTAACTGTTATTAGAAGATGTGGCTGTTTGTATTTTTATACTATTAAACTCAACACCTTCTTACTGGGTCCTTTCCACATTTTCTTTTTTTCCCTTTTTGAATAAGAATAAATCTTTCTTGAGCGTTTTCCTCTCACAAAAGTCTAATATCTTAGGCATATAGGGAAAACCTTCTTGGCTGTCCACTTTTAATAGATTCTAATCGCCGCAAGACTCACTTCAACTTACATAGCAACATCAATAAATGCACATTTTGTCCAGAGTCACAGTATTATGGTAGTGGGTATAGGAAATAGTCTACCAGGTTATTTTCAGTGCTCCAGTGGAATACCCCAAAGCCCTCTGTGAAAACTCATCAGGGCCAGGCTAAGCATAAGAAGAATCTGGTAATACGCTCAGTGGAACTTCTGAAATCAGGGAAACCCCTTCTGGATGACCTCTAGACATGTGGGGGTGTTGTAGGGCAGTGGTTTTCAACCACCAGTCTGTGGACCAGAGGCGGTCCACCAGAGATTTCCTGTTGGTCTGTGGAGGGGCCACATCCTGCTCACCGCAGACCAGGGCGGGGGCTGGCTGTGCCCTTCCACCTCTTCCTCGGTTGGCACCGCATTTGCAGGGCGTGCGCTGGTGCCGCTGGAGGGGCTGAGGAAGGGAGAGATGGCTTGGTGAGAGCCAGCTGGGAGCCACGCCATGCCAATGTCTGTATTTTGTTCTTTTGTTGGCATTTGTTGTTGCTTGGTTTCTGGTTGTTTTGGAGAATTTTCATTTGTTGTGCTGGGAAACTAATACACAGAATACTGCATTATGTGTACGGTGCTTTTTGTTTCTGCCTCAGCAGGCCCTGAGGTGGTTTTCCTGTTCTTGCCGGTCCCTAGCTGTGGAAAGGTCGAAAACCACTGTTGTAGGGGAGAACTTAGCCTTTTCTATTTCAAATTTCTTTTCTCCCCCTTGAAGAGCTGTATGGAGGAATAAGTCATCGGAAGAGGTGGGGGCGATTTAGAGGCTGCTGGTGCAGGGTGAATGAAGCACCCCTCCCTCCTCACCACTTCTCAGATCCTCACTGGATCACATTTTTGGTTTACAAAAGCCGCAGGGGCCGTGTTCTGCACCTGCATGCAATATCTAGTTTGGCTCTTAAAAGGTACAAAGGCATCACATGAGAGTAGTCATGTGTCTGATGGATGCAAAGCATGCGCTGAGGGTTCCCAGTGTCTAATAGGAAATGGTGGAACTCCATAAGTAAGCAAAGCACTTTCCGTACTACTGTCAACAATTCCAACTAAACCTATATACCGGGGAAAAGATTATTGTATCTTTCTTATGTTCTCATTAGAAAAACAATATGGAGATCTATCAAGAGTTACTGGTCATAATCACTATAATAACTATTAGTTCTGGCCTTCCTGGCTGAATAAGTGGCTAGCCAGATGTCTCAAAGATCCACAATTCAACAAAGGTCTTAAATTTTAATTATTAATATGAGCTCCACTTGTACATGTGGGCCAACACTGAACATCTGTAGTCGGTAAAATTTTATCATGCAAGCTATATGACTAAAACTCCTCAAGGGCTAGACAATGATTATGCTATGCTCAACAGGATGACTTGAGGTTAAGTCTGCTTCTGTAGAAACATGAAGAAAACTCTTAAGATAAACAAAACACTGAAGAAAAGGAACTGATGAGGAAATAAAAGCTCAGCCAAGTTCTAATTACTCTATCAAATATAGATTTGAATTACAGTTGTTTTTAAACACATCCTAATTAATTGTAATAATTCTTAAAGATTTTTATTTTAAAGCTTTTCAATAAGCATGCATTTCTTACCATGGAGGTCACAACCAGAGCAGGTGAAAAGCCCATTGCTAGGTAGAAGAAGAGCTCCACAATTTTATACCTTCAAAATGAAGAAGAAAAATGCTAAGCCTACAACTATGCAAGAACAATGCCTCATGACTCCAGAAATAGGGCATATTTTCACTAATATACATGCATTTGGGACAGAAATACATTATAGCACTTCTTGGATAACAGGTTATTTTAAAAAACATAACTCAATGGCGTGTTTGCTATTAACTGCACTAGGCTTCCATAAAATGAGAAAATATTGACCTGGTTCACATGTAACACTATGTCAAAGTGTGGTTTGTTGAATCTTTCTTGCCAGTGTGTTCAAGCCCATCCCCACAAACAAATCAGGACACAAATAAAACAGGAACAAACCAGAAATAGAAGCCATGGTTTGTTGTTTACTTATGAAATCTTGCTTCTCTAAAGCATGTCTTATACCTGAACCCAGAACTGTGCCCTATTCTTGTTTTGTTTGCACAGATTATCTGTCCTGAAACATAGCAAGAACAGCCTGAAAACAAAGCTGCCCTGGAGGCTGGCACAATGGGCAGGACACAAACAAATCATGAACACGGAGAACAGGCAGCGGTTTGTTTGGAAAACAATTTACCGCTGAAGCAACCAACCATGGCCAGCATAAACCATGGCTTAGCGCTGTGCAGGGATGCAGCTTTTTTGCTGATACTATTGGCAGTTAGAAAAATGAAATATACTAGAAATTTTCATAAGGAGGGGCTTCTTCAGCACTGATCCTACATGTTTCTGGTCAAGGAACAGGGGAGATATGCTCAAATAGTAAGAACACAAAGCCAGCAGGAATCTTTTGTGTAGGCCAGGATGAACAAACCCATAACACAGAAAATAAAATGAGGATTTCTGAACATATTCTATTTGGTCCTTTTTGAGGAAAGGACCAGGCACATTTATTAGGCCATCAGCTTTCTTCCTGCTCCTGTGGGCTAAAGTTTTTGCTCAAGTTTTTGCTCCCCTCATTTTCACTAGAAAAGAATAAATATCAAATTTCACAAGGGTGCAGTCTCTCAGAGGAACAGAAGATAGGATGCACTCATAATTTCTGTTTCCTTGATAGAAATCCAAGCTTTTACCTATTCATATTAAGTGCTGCTTGAATTATTTATCAAAGAGGAATTTCAAAAGTGAGACAAAGTCATTTTCTGCCTGCTAATGATATGCCTAATGCTGACATGCTGAGAGACAGTTTGAAAAGGCTAATTTAATAGCCAGGCAGAAGGCTGTGCTTTTCTCTACAGAAATTAAAGAATGGGTTTAAATTAAAATGGGCTTGTTTAGAACAAAAAAAGCTCTATGTGTTCTCAGCTTCTCACATGTGATACACAAAGAGAAATATAAATACAAATGTTTCATAAGTCCCTTCTATTTGCTGTTTTCATATTCTTAAGCCAAATATTGAAGTCTTGCACCAACATTTCAGATGCAATCCTGCCCAAGTTTAGACAGAAAAAAGCCCTGTGTGACCCATGCTGGCTAGAAAATGTTAGCAGCTGTTGAAATTTCCTGTCTAAATGTTTATAGAATGCTCCTGAATTCTACCTCAGAACTTTGGACATTGTTTTATATTTTTAATATTTGTTGGTTTCTTGTATTGCAAACAACTTTGAGAATTTTTTCAACTACAGTAAGTAGCCAATTAATCAACTAAACCAACAAACATAGCTCATGTCCTTCAGATGCTTTGGCCTATAACTCTCAGAAACTCAAACCAGCACAATCAACAATCAGAGATTATGGGCCTTGCATTCCTGTTCCAGTTTGTTCATTTATTCACATACAGTGGTACCTTGGCTCACAAACTTAATCTGTTCCACGACTCTGTTCATTACACAAATTGGTTGTGAGCCAAGTCAAATTTCCCCATAAGGTTCAATGTAAATAAGGCTAATCTTTTCTGTATTTCTTTTTTTTAATCACAAAAATTTGAAGCAAAGTGACAAAGAACAACAAAGATCGTAGCCATCTCCCCCCACCCCACCCCAAGCACAGCCATTCCCCCCAGCACGACTGTGATCACGCCTGTGTTCCCTGCACAAGTGCGACCATGATCGCGGCCATAGATGGGTGTGATTGTGGGCGTGCTTGGGGGGGGGGGAGACAGATACAATCGCGGGTGCACTGGGGGGGAGACGGGCGTTATCATGGGCGTGCAGGGGGGGAGATGGGTGCTATTGCGATCGTCACCTGATGTGGAGTTCGCGACCTGAGTAAAAATTTTTCTTAAATTTTTGTTCGCGACCTGATTTGGTCGTGAACTGAGGTGTTTGTGAGCTGAGGTACCACAGTATTTGTGGAATACTTGTATATCACTTAATAAATGTTCTCAGCAGTTTATAGTAAAACATATAAAAGTAAATATACTGTCCAACAATAACCATCAATAAAAAGAAACAGTTAAAAGAGACAGTAAAATGGTGCCATGTTATGCAATCCCTAATTTTTGGCTAATCTTGACATCAGTACAGAAACTATGCCTGCAGAGTGATACCAGAGCACATCACTTTGAGAACAAATCATGCTGCTTCTTACTTTTCATGGTAGAGAAACACATAGGTGGCTCCTCCAGCAGCCATCAGCCAGATGAACCAGCGCATATGCGATGCCAGAGGCCCAAGCTCACGAAGATTTAACCTAGAAAAACATTCAAGTGACTTCTGAAATAGTGACTGGAAGGCATCTGAAACATCCTAAATTCTATGTGAAGATGTAACGAAATCATTACGATTTCTCCAGAGAGAGGGGCAGAGAGAAAAAGAGAACATTCATTTTTCAGTGCTTGAAAGTTCTGGATTTAAAACTATGTAATTTTCCATTTAACAAGCTTCAATGCAGTTAAAATATCAATGTGTGCACAGACTGAACCTTTTCCAAGCCCTTTTAATTGACAATATCTAATAACAAAATACATCTAAACATTTAACAGTTGACATAAAGCAACATTTCTTTTCATCCTATGAAAACTTTTCAAATACTTTTGCATATGCAAGCCACAGTGGGAGTATGAGCCACCTCATTGTGCTGGCGATGGTGGGTTGTTGGCCTACTTAACAAGCTACTCACAACTCCAAGACAGCCCACAATTTGTTGGTGGTTGCACATCATGGCTTACACATACAATATGGTGACTGGACTGAGGTGGGGTGAAAACGACCCCCTGCAGGTCATTTAAACTATGATAGATTACCGTATTGTATGACCTAGATCTCCGGGTCTTATTAAGATTAACAATGTTTGGGAGAATAGATGGAAATGGAAAGACAGAAATGAAGGGTACAATCAACTCCACTGTCATGGCCCCAATTCAGTGGCATACCTACAGTGCACTCGTGTGTGTGGAAACTACCCTATTAAAGGATAAATAAGCTGAAGACTGCTTCTGCGTGTGCACTGCCCTTGCTGGAGCAGGGCAACTTAGTTTACAAAGAAAATCCTTAATTTATTAAATGGAAAAAGGATTTCACTATACAGCTTTACTCTAGCAGATTAAGCCAGGAACAATTAATCAACCAATCCAGGAAGTGAAAGCTAGAATAATATGACCCTGCAATTTTACCTACCAGAACTATACATTTTAATTCTTACCACGGTGCATATGATGCTGCAATGAAGATGTAGATCATCACTCTGTCGCACATATGAAAGCAGTGTTCCATTGTCCTAAATGGAAAGGCAAATAATGGAAGGAGACATAGGTTATTGCCCTGGGGTGCAGAGCTGAAAAGTAGTACAATCTGCTCTGGAGCATGGGCCACTGGGAACCAGCATCTTCTGCCTCCCAGGAAGAATAGCATGACAGTGGGGAGACCAACCTGGCTCCACATACCAGCCAGAGAGAGAGCAGTTGTGGGGAGACTGAATCACAGTTCCCTGCCAGAAAGGACATCTGTAAGAAATACTGCCTATATCTGCTTTCCCCCCTCCTTCTTCCCAATCACATTTTTGTATTGTGTCTGTTAGACTATATATATGGCAGGAAGCATTCTTCTTATTTGACTTTGTAAACCATTCTAAAGTCTTTTACGGCTGAACAGTGAGGTAAAATAATTTAAAACAGAAACAATCTCTTTCCAAAGAGATTACTCTTAAAACAATAAAATCAGAAATAGTTTAACCCTTTGGCTAGGACATATGTCAGTGGGTGGAGCACCCAATATACTTTCTTTGGGGAAACCATTTTGCGGTTAAGAATGTAAGAACAGCCATTCTGGATCAGACCCAAGGTCCATCCAGTCCAGCACTCTGTTCACACATTGGCCAACCAGCTGCCCACAGGATCCCTCAAGCAGGATGAGTCTAAGATTTCCACCTGCCCAAGGTCCTCAGCAACTGGTATACTGCCTCTGATAATGCAGGACAGCACACAGACATTAAGGCTGATGGCTTCCTCCTCCCGGAAGTTGTCCAATCTCCTTTTCAAGCCCTCCAAACTGGTGGCTATCACTAGTTCCTGTGGCAGTGAATTTCATAGTTTAACCATATGTACTGTGAAGAAGTCCTTCTTTTTATCTGTCCTCGATCTCCTACCAATCAGCTTCACAGTGTGACTCCAGGGTCTAGTATTGTGGGAGAGGGAGAATGTCTCCTGCTCCATGTTCCCCACACTGTGCACAATTTTAAACAACTTCTATCATGTCTCCCCTCACTTGTCCTTCCTGTAAGCTAAACAGTCTCACTTGTTGTAACTGCTCCTTGTAGGAGATTTGCTCCAACCCCTTCATGGTTTTAGTTGCCCTTCTCTGCACTTTTCCCAACTCAATAATGTCCTTTTTAAGTATGCTGACCAGAACTGTACACAATATTCTAGGTGTGGCTGCACCAAAGACTTATATAAGGGGAGTATAATTTTGCTCAGGGAGTTGGACTATCAGAAGAGAAAAAAACTATATGCATACAGTGGGCCGAGAAAAACTACTCTCTGACTAATAGTAAGTTAATACTGTCTACAATGGTGCTACTAATTGATTTGTGACACTCATCTTGCCTTGTCATGGTTATTGGCAATAAAAATGCCATCAACAGTAACTTGTCAGAAACTGAATCCTAAGTCACTTGCATATTTGCTTTCACCAGCAGCTGGAATGCATTCAAGGTATTTAAAGAGTCTCAGTTTTAAAGTTGTAATGTGTTTCTAGAACAAGTTTCAGCCACAGTTTGAAGAAATGATGGAAAGTAATTTGCTGAATTCATATTCAATATCACCTACCCACCATGCCCAGGGTTAATTAAGGGATATGCAGCTGGGCTCTTCTATCTTGAAGTTAAAAATACATTGAAGACATTTTTGTTCCAAGTAGCTTCTAATTTATGTGTTTTTATTGCATGTCCTGATTTACGACTTCATTGCTGTAGTTTGTTATAATTATTACATGCTGGTTGTATGTTATTAATCTCCAAATTTGTCACTTCAAGATTTTAATAATATTTTAGCATTTCACCTTCACAGTTCACATTGTTTTGAACCACTCTGAGAGGACTTTTGCCTGGAAAGGAGGCCAAAATGTTTGAAATAAGTCAATAAATTTAGAATGGTTAAAGCTGCTGGAAACTTTTAGGAGATACGTAAAGAGGAGGACAACATTTTCAGCAACCACCTCATAAAGTAAATTCAAAGCATAAGATAGCACTACTAAGGGTACATTATACCACGTGCACATACTACTGGTTTAGTGTTGTACTGATTGTAAATTGAGGGGATGTAAACAGCAGCACCATATGGGAGGAGTAGGAACAGATGCAGGCTTGATTTTGTGCAATATCCAGGAACACCTGTTGCTGTCCCAGTTTGCTGTTTGTACCACTTGTGCTACAGGTTGGGCACTGAAGCTTTAAATAAACACAGAGGTTCAGCTCTGTGGCTCTTAACACATGCCTTTATTTATATGCGTCTAACCAAACACTTGTATTCAAATGAACACTTATCTTGGACCTTCAACAAAATCATCTTGCACTGCATCACAAGGTACCCAGGTGGGGGAAAAGCAATAGCCAATCAACTAGAGGTTAGAATATTTGGGTATGTGGTTTATAATGGGAATATATAAGGTAAGTAAATGTATAGCATTTAAATAAGATTCCCAGATGTCTGCCTAATTCTATATTGAGGAGGACTGGAGACAAAAGAAGAGAACTAAGAGAGAGAGGCAGAAAGGACCACATGCTAGTGTTTCAGAAGGAAGGTCGAAGGGGGTTGATATGTGATAAGCAGATAGGAGGGCAATAAGAGCAAGGCATGTGTGACTCTCACTGGATCGAAGACAAGGTTCAATCTGAATACCTGTGCCCATCCATATACAGGTTGCTTACAGAAATTTGAGGAGAGAAAACTAAGATTAAAGGGTGGCAGGGTGACTATGGTGCCAGCTGTTCAGAGGAACCCTACAGCAAGAAAAACAAGTATTGCCAAGATGAACTATAATAAATGACATAAGAATCCCAAGAATGATCTTTAGAGAAGACGAATATGAAACTTATATAAGTCCACTTAGAAACAGCATGCACCATGCAGAAGAACACAAAAGAACACCAAATTATTATTTGGATTATACCTGAGGTGACTCTTCTTCCATGAAATTATGTGAAACACTGTGGAAACGATGAAGAGTGCGCACAGGCCGACTCCATACATCCATGCTGTTATCTTTTCCCATCCATCGTCAGAGAGTCGATGGAGCAGGGCACTACCCACAATGGCTGGAACAATGAGAAACTAGAGAAACAACAGGAATGTGTTCTTTGTCATTCTCCCAGTCCACATTTTCTGCTTTATTAGCATTTTGCTTTCTGCGCCTAGACAAACTCTCCCTCTCAAACACGGGCTTCAAAAGGAGGAAGTGAAAAGAATTTGGGATTTTTAAATGTTACAAGAAAGTTACCCGGGGATTACATATGAAAGGCAAAACTTTTAAGGATTTGCTTCGGCTGAAGGTTACAGAATTGCTGTCACTTCCAAAACACAAAGCAGTGCTGAAGTGTCAGATAGTGTATTTGGGATTAAAATCTGCTTAAAGTAACACTTTGTTAAGTTTATTGTGCAAGCAAAAACTAGAAACTGCTTAGAGAGGAACTGATACAAATGCTTCACACGCACTATATTGTCCTCACTGAACACATACCCACTTAAAAGCAAACATTATAACTTGTCCTTAAGGACCAGACTGACTTTCTATTTTTAAGGTTTATAGCAACCAGATTTTTAAAGACAAAAACCTACGGAAAAATAAAGTGGGAACTACATAATTATTTAAGGAAGACTAACACCTTTCAGTAGTAGAATTTTACAGAAGAGATTCTTCTAATGAAATTGGGACTCTTCTCTGCTATACTCAAATGTTTCCTGTTAATTAGAGGCATTCTGAATATTGCCAAGGATATTATTATTGGTTTTACTTGTTTTATTTTTTCAAAAATCCCTGAAGGTATTGTAAGACTTGACAATTCAGCTGCATACAATTTTCTCACATGTTTTAAATGAAGGCGAAGGTAGGGATGGACAATCATTTGCGAATGGTAAATTCCGACTTCAAAATTTCACGATGCAACTTGTTTTGTAAAGATATGTTAAATTTCCAGGAAAAATTGAAGTCATGGAGGGAAATTTGGGGGGAAAATTAAATACTTAGGCCTTTAGTTCTCTTTCAGAGATAGTCACTTTGTTGCTTTTCAACAGGTTTTCCCAGCTTTGGCTCTCATCAGCCTCAGCCAGCCTGGTCAATGGACAGAAATGCTGGCCACTGTACTCCAAAGCATCTGATGGACACCAGGCTGGGGAAGGCTGCTTTAGAAACAGAATTTTACATTGTGTATAACATGGTTGGTTCATAAAGCTCTAATTACATTTTAAAACTTTTAAAATAAACTCATGTAGTAAATTTGCAATTACTGTCTGAATACACTATCATTTTAAAATCAATAAACCAAATACAATGATACTTTGAATGAATCATTATCAAAGATATAACAACATATTTTAGGTTCCTATTTTATGTTTGACTGGAGGATATGTCAACAAATAATCCTTGAAACAACTGAATCTTCCCAAAAGTCAGAAGAAGCAGGAAATACTGGAGACACAGCAAGGTATTTTTTCTTGTTTTGCAAGGAAGTTAACATCTTTTCCTGTTTATAAGGAAGTTCAGGGAATTCCTAAAAGTTTCTGTGTATGGGGTGGAGCTTAGGGAAATCTGCTCTGAAGGAAGGACTCGTCTTAGGAATGGTAAACAAAGATACTTAATTTAAGAACATTTTAGGCCATCTCAATTATTTGAAGTGTGAAATTTTAGTTACTTTAGGTGAATGCATGGGATAGTGGAGCAGGGGGGGTTGAACTCAGTGGTCTTACAGGTCCCTTCCGATTCTTGTTCTGTTCTGTTCATGCCCACACCACAGGAACCAGGCTAATGATTTTAGTGTGGCTTTTAAGCAGAGAAGACTTATTTAAGGTGCAGCAACTGAAAAGTTTTGTAGTTAAGGCAGCACATCCTAATGGTGACACCTAATCGAAATCTTCACAAAAACTATAGCAATGAATGCTACAGATGCAAGCCTCAAAATCAATTAAAAAATAGAACCCCGATGCTGTTCTGTTGCAGTGACAAGGTACAGATTTTTTTTCCAGATGTGCACTCTAGAGTAGAGCAACAGTAATTTCCTTCTGAAATAAAGAATTTTGAACAACAACACCTACACTGTCAAGAATGACAATTTCTTCCATTTTATGATATGGACTCTACTCACATGCTGGGAAATTGAGCACAGCTTGGAGCATCCCTAATTTTTTTAGCAAAAGATTTATTAGATCAATAAATGTAATAAGGAAGGGAAAAATAAGTTTGCTGGAAATCATATGGAAAGGATTAAAAAAAATTTCCACAATGACCAAATTATTTCCACATTTTATCTTTAATCTTGGTATAAGAGTATTCTTATCAGGCACATTGTTTTTAGAAATCAATCTGATGGAGTAAAGGCTGGATAACATTATATAAGCACTTTGTCTTATACTCTGAAACAAAGTATTTCATAATCCAAAGCAGTTCATTTTTTTCTTGCAACGAAAAAACAAAAATAGTCATTGAGGGAAAAACAGATAAAAATCCCTTTCTCCTCCCTGAATCTTTCAGGTTTGTTTTCCTTCGCCTTCCTGTCTCCATGGTGTCATATTATATTGCTAACAGAATGATCCTCAAACTACTAGACATAAGCTGGGGGTGAAGGAGCCTGGATAATTTGGATTCTCCGCTCTGAAGCTGGAGACACAGTTCCAACCTTGCAGCTGGGAATTCGCATTATGATCCCCCTGCTCACAGGTGGCACAGAAAGAACTGTGCAGGCTGTCTTTGCAAGGCTATAGGGGAAAGCTGTGTCAGAGAGCAGGTAAAGGGGGCATTCTCAAGATGGGAAGGGGGAGAGAATGAGACTGCCAGGAAACCATATATCATGACTGCAATCCAGCCTCCTTTCCCCCATCCTCCTCTAAAGTGATTAAAAGATGTCTGCCTAGCTGAAATGCAGAGTAGGAAAGTAGAGATCATCTCCACTTTCCCTCCTGCTCTACACTGGATGCTCGTAAGTCTCTGAATTTGGGGCTTTACAAGCACTGAGAGTGCAATCAACAGGGCTGCTCCTAATTTATTTGATCAAACAGTGCATCTTACTAAAAGAGCTAAAAGAAAGAAAAAAATCCCTGGAAGAAGTATATGAACAAAATACTTTCCATCCCTTATCACCAGTTTGGTTTTTGAGAACTGAAGCTACCATTAACCTGGTAAGATTGTTAATGTTACAACTTCTCTTCTGTTTACCTCTTTGTGAGCGCTCTTCTGTGGGGCCCTCCATCTACCTGACGGCAAGAGCAAGAGAGGCCAAAACGCCTCCTGTCTGCTGCTCTCTCACTCAAAACGGGCTGTCAAAACCTTTTGGCAATACACCTCTCTCAAGCATCCACAGTGGCAGAAAGGTATTTTAACAGTCACTGGGTTAGTGGAGGATTCTACTTTCATTAGACATCAGGGAGCTTTTGATGGCTAAATACGGGCCAGAACAAAGAAAGACTTTATAACAATGAGTGGAACTTTTGGAGTCTGCTGGGCTCCCAGAACATGCATTAATGGCATTTCCCAGTACTAGCTTGTGCTCAACCATAATTTAAAACACAGTAAAATCTAATGCAGATGGGAATTAGAATGATTTGGATGCCGTGTGGTTTGTCCTGCCAGTAAGTCAATTTTCTTACCGCATGAGTGTAACAGTTCGCGGCATGCTCATAGCAAGTAGGTTTGTAACGGCTGTTTGCTGGAGCTGGGTGGTTCATGAATCTGTTGAGACAAAGCATATGAAACAGTTGATGCAAACTGATACTTGCATGTATGCAAAGGCATAATTTATTTATTGAATTAAAAGGAAATTCAGATGTTTTAATATTTTAGATACTGAACTTTAAAGGAACTAGAGAATTACGATGAAAATGGTCCCAATATAAGAATGTGCTAAATGATTCCCCATGCATGTTCACATTAGTTTAAAAGGCAAGAAAGGTACCAAAAGGCCTATTCATTTTAAAAGTAACATGTCACCAGTGTAAATCACCAAACACTTATATAGAAGCAGATCTCTTTTATCCTTTGATACTTGCACTAGGCAGGAGTAGGGGGGAACAATGGCAAGAACAAAATGTATATTTCAGTTGGACCAAACTAAATGGGAGCAGGAAGACATCACCCTTGGAAACAACATCCTTCCACTTCCACAGCGTAAGAGGCAGTGCTATCTTCCTTACCCATTACAAGCACCCTCCTTCCCAGACCAGCTGTCTGCATTTTGGTCATTCTGTGCACAAAGACAGTCCCTCCTGGAATGTGACAGGTTATTAATAAATAAATAAAAACTTCAGCACAGACACCCTCCCTTAACAGGAATCTGTCAACCAATCTTCTCCAAGCTGATGTTGCTTGTGGGGATGATGGGAGTTGCAGGGCAGCAGATCAAGGAAGGTTCCTATAACCCATGGTTATCATACCGAACCCTAGATTTCAGCAGACTATCAGCATTTTATTTATTTGGACAGCATCATTAATTTCCATGAGAGTTTACAGGGAAACCAAAGAAAGAAATCCCTGCTCTGAACAGCTTGCTCTTGATGGAAGGTGAGAACAGAGATGAGGGAACAACATGAACAAATGCAGTGATACTTACTATGCTTTCAGTTTCACAATGGGTGTGTATGTGTGGCATTCACACGCCAAGGGATTCTTATCACAAGCAGGGACAATCATAGGGCATACTATGCTTCTTGACCTTCCAAAACACCATCACCAGTGAATCAGTCGAGCCATTAACAGTGAAACAATACCAAAAAAGCACGATGATCTACCGCTTGACTTCTCTTTTCCATCAGCCCCCCAGTAAAGTGGTGGGAAATGCATTGGATGAGGAACAATAAACTGAAACACAGCCCACAGTCACTTTAAACCAGTCAATTTTAGAAGCCTCGTCTGGGCAAAAAGGCTTAGTTTCTGCTTAGCAACTACAACGCTAGCCAGCACTACTAAGCTACGTGTGGTCAGGCTTCAAGAATTCTTACCATGTTTGTGAATATGGTGCTGTCCTCTGCTCAGCAGGACTAGAGCCCTACTCCAACTTTTGAAGCCGCATGAGTAAGTGGGGATCATTCCAGCGGTGTGCAATTCCTGCCACCTTCCCCACTCCAAAATCACGAAGAAAGTAACGCTGGAAGTTGCCCAGAGTGTCTTACTCAATCAGAGCCAAACTGGCAACCCTTCCCCACTGGCCTTACTTTTGTTTACTTGGCTACCTTTGGATAAAGGTGCCATGAACATCTTTGCCCAGCAGTGCTCATGTCTCTGGCACAATCCCCTCCCTTCTGGCCCTTCCCTTTGAAAAGGAAAGTGGGATGTGGAAGGCTTGGAACCATCTCTAGAAGGTGCCTGAAGCACACTCAAGCAGTGGCACCCACACTAGCAGTACGGGTCTCCTGTTGGCCCTTCCTCTAAGAAATGCCAGCTGTGTGTGTGCAGGTGTGCACATGCATGCATGGGCCTTGAACGCTACTGCACACGGGAGCCAAGATGCTTGGAAGCATGGTGTGCAAACCAGCCCACTGTCCTCCTGCCTTTCCAAAGGAAAAGCTCAATGGGAGGCCTACCAAGAAAGGGGTAGCATCTACAATTTTGGCTGGACCAGAAATTGGAGATGCCTTGTACACGCTCTAATGTTTTTATGATCATTTGTGAAAAAATATTTTTATCAAGTTGCAGAAGTACATCATGCAAGGTACCTTCTGTTACTATTATTACTATTAACCAGTGCCTTCTTGCTTTACTTGAACAACAGTCTTTATGCCTCTTTCAAGGTATGCTAGAATTGGGTTTCGATATACTAACTCAAGACCAGTGTACAGGAACACACTCCTGCACTGCTCTTACCCAAAAAGTGAGTAGGCTCAGTGAGATTCAGCATATGAATCCCAAAGGAGCTCAGCTCTTAAGATGTGTATTCAGAACAATATGTGTCATTACCATGCCTACATTGTATACTTTGCGGTTAGAAAATAAACCTTGGACTGAGCCTCCAGATAACCCATACACTATCAGCAAAATTAAACAAACCAAATCCTGCTAACACAGATGCTTAAAAATGTCTTGGGTTAAGCTTAGTGTTTGTCTTTCTGCATGTTTTTATCCGTACTATGTTATCTTGCAGAATGCAGATAAATGTAGCTCCTGCACAAAAGGAGACTGTTATCTTTGCTGAAAAGCCAAAACTATCATTGTAGTGGAACCAAATATTGCAGTGAACTACTTAAGAGACAAAAGAACAAACTAAAAATGATGCCATAGTATGTGAGAGACTAGCAAACTATTTCAGATTTCTAGGGCTGAATCGCCCTCCTAGGTAGCAATTCCAACAGGTAGTGTAGCCAAGAGACTGCAGATAAAGTAACGTCTTGGTAATTTCATTGTTTACTGTGAATGCCTATGACTGACGAAGGATGTGATAATTCAAAAACATAACAGCAATTAATCTAAGAGAAGGTGTCATTTCCAACTATTCGGGCTTATTCTGTTTAATCAATATGACCATGAACATGGCTTATTTGTGTTCTTTGACAGCGTGGTTATCTGGGTTGCCAGTGTTACTGAAGCTGCTTTGTAAACAGGATAGCAAAAGTTGCTAGCTTTCAAAGGGGCCTGGCAGAGGACAACAAGTCCCATCTGTTCTCCAAAACCTTCGGCACATCTACACTGGAAGAAGAGAACAGTTCAGACAGCCTGCTTGCTTTCTATGCTGGGTGCAGAGTGTTCTGTCCCTTCTCCACCAGCCAATTCATTCCTCTACTTGAAATTCCTATGACTACCAGGAAGAGGCTTAATTAAATACAAAGCTTCAGTAAAGGGTAGTAATATACAGCATTATTCTAGAGTGTATAGACTGTTTTCTAAAATATGGCCTCTGGGCTAAAATATCCCCAGTGTTAACAATCAGGTTCCAATGTGTTGTTCTCATCACTGAACAGAAGCGGGCAAACATGTCTAAAGACTGGCTATATTATAAATAAAAAGACTGATTGAAACTGTCTCTAGGAAGTCAGTCAAGAAGGCCAAATATTAAAGACTTTGAAATTTCTCTCCTCTTCTTCATTTTGATCAATATCTGTGATTGCGTCGGGAGGGAGGGGAACATCAACCCCACCTGCTGTGCTCCACTGCTTCCATCACCATGAACAGTCTTAGTCAGCAGTGCGATGCCTTTAATGCACAATCCTGGGTGCAAACAGAGCAGGGTCACCTGGCCACTTCCTGCAGAGGCTTCACTGAAAAGGAAGCTGTCTCTTTAACCTCAGGCACAGTCCTGACTGTCCCAGCTAAGGGACTGTCCCCACCACCCACCACTGCTCCCAGGGGCTGCCGTCAGCTCCTCCAGAGCTTTGGCAACCCTCTTTTCCGCCAGTAGCTTCCTGTGCGTGTGCACAGTGGGACGATTCCTGCTTGGGCACCAACACGGGCTGACTTCTCCACTGGCTCCCTGATTCTTCTATGACCCCATGCCATAATATATTCTTTACCTCATTATTACTTGTTTTGACTTTTGGGGGTAGGGACACATCAGCACCAGACTACTGGCCCCAGGACTGGTTTCAATAGAATCAGCTATTAGGTGGGTGTACCCTGATACCTCTGAGAAAACCTCTGAGAACTCTCCCTCTAATGTCCTTACCTGTTCCACTTGTTTGAGGTTCAACCCTAGCGGCCCAGAGTGAGGCCGCTAGGGTTCCGTGTTGGTTCTATCCCAAGATCCTGCCACTCTTGGCACTTTCAGCAAGTTGTGCCTGACTCTCTCTTTCTCTCCATTCCTGCAGAAGGTTTATATGATATATCTGAGTCAACCGTTCTTATCAGTTAGCTGGACCTCATAATCTCCCACACGGTAACTCGGAGGATGAAAAACCCATGGAGGCCTGAGGCACTTCCCACATGGCAAACATTAGGGGCCCTGGCAACATATGCTCCCTGAGCCTCGTTCTCCTACCACCTGTCTTCCTGCTGCCACTTTCCTCTCTCTCCATGCCACTTCCCCCCACCCCGTACTTTCCTTTCTCTCCTCTTTATCCCTCCATGCTGCACCACCTCCTCCCTCTCCCACAGGTGTTCTCCCCCCCCCCCCCGGGGAAAGCACCTCCACACCTGGGTGCTCACCGCTGGGCTGCGCATGCGCCACCCCCCCGCCCAATGCCCTGCTGCCAAAGGTCTTGCTGCCCCAGGAGCTGGCTTCCTCAGCTCTTTGCTCCCTGCGGTGCGTCCCCCTTGACTGACTCCTGAGTAGGAGATGGGAGAGCCCTGTCTACCGTTCACAATATCCTTTGAGTGTGTTGGAATGGCACTCCTAGTGTGTGCAGTGCTTAATCTACTGGGACTCTACAAAAGATTGTTATTTGACAAAGTGGCACATAAAAGTAGACTGGTAACTACCCAAGGATGGCTATACTGACTATGACAAAGCTCTAATACTGTAGCCCAATAATAACCACTTGCAAGAAGGAAATAGTTGGAATTGTTCTTCTTATATATTCAAATCAGTCTTTAAACCAATAAATGCATATAGACCATTATCTGTGAGTGCAGGATCAAGCATTTATGGGAAGAAGAATTTCTAGATAGAAATACCATGTTTTTGTTTTTCTGTCTTTGTTGTTTAGATTTTGCTTTGTAATTTCTAAATAAATCAGTAATTTTAGCAACTGAGTTCTATTATTTTTGTGATTAGGATCTGAAGCATAAAACTCAGATTTTACCATGTCCTGCAATAAAACTAATTTAGCGTGTTTTATTTTGAAAGAGACTCGAAACTTGATCAGGTTATAACTTGATACATAAGTCAGATTCCACATAAAATAACTACTCTCTTGGTAATCAGAATTCTACTATGCTATTGAATCCTAAATTAACCATTACTAACGTTTCAAGTCTATTGACAATATCAGTGTATTGCTTTGGCCATTGAATCTCAGCTTGTTGTGTTGGCACAAATTGCTAGAAGCCACTACAGCCAATTACATTTGAAACATTGCTAGCATTCTGCATGACTTGTACACAGGTTTGATATTAGCTACAAGAATATTATTTACATTTATATACTGCCTTTTTTCCTGTCAAGGGACTCAGGGTGGCTTATGCAAGTCTCCTCCTCACAACCTTATCCTCACAACAACAGCCCAGTAAAGTAAGTTGGTCTGAGAGTCTGTGATGGTTCAGTCTGTGACCCAAGTTAGCTCCATGGGTGTTACATACTGAGAAAATGTTTCTGTGCTGTTAAAAGACAATCCTACTCTCCAAAACAGAAGTTTTATCAATAAGATCACAAATAAGCAGTGCCATACCCACCATGTCACCTTATTAGAATTCAACATTTTAACAATATAATTCCAACAGTCCTGCATGGATATGAGGAAAGAATGTCTATAAAGCAGCTATTCAAAAAAATAAAGAATGAGACAACCAGGAGAGAAGGAAGCAGCATCTTGCATGTTTGATGTGGAAAACAAAGGCATTACACATCAGTGCTGGGGATGGGCCATGTACACAGCCAATCTAATCATGCTCCTAATTAAACTATTCCTGCTTTTTTCAACTCCAATGTTCCAATTATCCCTTGGTTTATTATGTAGATTCCTTTGGAATCTCCCTGGAATCAGAGTTAGTTTAGAAGAACTAATGTAGTAATACTGTAATATTACTACATTAAAATTAATTTAGCTGGAAAAGAGAAAACCTGCCCCCTTCCACACACACAAATTAATTCTGCAGAAGCTACTGGACCCTTTATGCCATTATTAAGCAACTGCTACAAACATCTATATCAGATTCTTGGTCCTGTTATTTCTGAAGCAACACACTTTGCTTCAAAATGACCCATTTTGAAAGAGCAGAATCCTATTAATACTCTTAAGTAATTTCCAAATTGCTTTCATTTTCTTCCTCTGCTTCTCTTCCCAGTTCTGTACTGTAAAAAACAGCAGAAACAAGCAGATGAACCCTTTCCCATTGCAGAATCAACCATTCAGAAAAGACATATAGAGGAGTTTCAGCGTGTTTCTTGCCAACAGTCACACATAAAGGAGAAGCTTAGCTCAACCAAGATGACTATTACAAACACCGGATACATGAACTTTCACCCACTTCTAGAAGATGGAAAAGCCTCATCTTTCACCACAATCTATTTTCTTTCTCAAAGCAAAGCTACACAATCACCTCTCCTCCCATCATGCCTACTCACTTTTCTCAGTAACTGAGCTGCACGCATAATTTCAGGAGCCGGTCCAACAGCCACTGGATGCAATATTTATTTATTTATGTATTTATTTAGGAGACTTCTATGCCGCCACATTCGCCAAAGCCTCGGGGCGGCTCACATCCATAAATAAACTTCCATAGAATAATATAAATTAACAGTATAAATTAAGTCACCCATGTTCTCTTTAAATCCCCAGATCTCAGCTGTCATTCTCATAAATCATATCTAAACACTGTAAGCCCAGCTTGCTTCTCTGTTATCAGAGGTGTTAAAGAAGTGGAGAGAACCAGGAGGGTAGAATTTGAGTTTTAGATGCCTTTCACAAACAACTTGGGCCACAGGCGTTTGCCCTCTTCTGGTAAATATGAACACTTCTAGAAATAATGGCAGGTTAGGAGATATAGATAGCAAGATTGTGGAGGAACAGAGAAGAAACAGGATAGGTTGAAACAAAGGTTGTACAGGAAGTTGGTGTGTTCTTGTTTAAGGCATTTTGCTTGGAGCTAGCTCTTCCCATGTTAGGTGCATGAAAACAAGAGATCCGCTGGATACAGAAATGTGTTCCCAGGATTTATCTTTATATGTATAACTTATTCATAAAATCACACCTGTAATCACATTCATTGCACAATGAAAGAATACCCCCACAAATTTATTTCCTACAAGAAGGGGTAACCTGATTTCATATTTACCTCCCAAACTAATGGAATTTCATTATGCATTCCTGTACTATAATAACAGGCACAACTGCTCTTGTACGCTCTAAATAAAACAAGAAGGCTGCGCTCCATCAGTGGAGGTGCAATGGGAATAAGTAAGCCTGAGGGCAAGGACTGTCTTGTTATCTCTGACTATATGTAACCCGCACTGGAAGCTTCTTTGACTGAAGAGTGGGATAAAAATATTTTAAATGCATAATTAAGTATGTATTAGATGAAAAATGAAGATTTTTTTTATAGAATTCATTACATTACAAGCCAGAATAAGCACCCCAGAGAACATTCTCTTTACTGATATTTAAGCGATGTGCTCAAATTTCTGCCAGTGCTCAGACATGTACATACTTTTAAACAGTCAGTGTCAGGTGCAGAATTTTTTTAATGCTATAGATGGTAGCCAGCCATGGGGCACTCCACATGAAGCGTTTGAAGCAAAGATTTTTGTATGGATCCCCTGGAATTAAGTAGTGGCCCTTGTCCCTCATGAGCTTCAAAAGGGGGGTGGTCAAAGAAATAGGGCACAAAGGGTTGTATACCCCCCTTTACTTCAAACCAACCATGGGGAAACTACACAGTCACAAAGACTCTGTGCCACATCTACAATATGTTACCACTTTTACGTTGCTTTGAGCAAGCTGGAATAACTACTACCATCCAATCCTGTTTTCACAATGAGGAACTTAACCTCCCCAACATAGGCATGGGCACCTTTCCTGCTTCCAGATGGTTTTTATTCCCCCACTGCTTTATTTATGGAATTTTACAGGGCATGGGTGTATGTCAAAATGCAATCAATTTCAATTTGTAGTGCATTCTTCTTTTCCCACCACTTCTTCCATTTTTTTTTTCTAGAAAAACTCTGCTAAGGAAGAGATAGTGGAATACCTACACTATGCCATTTTATTGTTAGTGCAAGGACCACTACCTAAAAAACCTGCTTTATTATTTTTCCACTCTGTAAGGCACTTCATTTGGAGTTTTGGGGGGAAAGAAGGTCAATCTTTTTATGGCTCCCTTAAAACAGAAATACAGATAATAAGCCATGCCATTTTTAATCGTCAACCAACACGTTTTGGGGCATTTCATTTGCCAAACTATTACCATACATATCAGAGGCTGCTATGGGATAACTAACCAAAGTTAAGCCACCCCGATTGTGTGGCATCACTACAGAAGAGCATGATCTTCAGGTGCATGAACTTAAAAGTACCAGGGCAAAAGACACACAGCACCCTTTAAACTTTCACGAACCTCACTGACTACAGCCAAATGTGGGAAGGTGGGATCTGTATTTATTGTCTTCCGTTCCTGTGGCATACCACAAATGGAACTATACAAATGAGCATTTGGAACTTGAACTGAACAGTGGGCGGAGCTTTCCCGGGCGAGATCAAAGCATCTGGAGAAATAGCTGCTCCAGCTCAGGAGGGCGGGCCAAGCTGTCCTACCCCTAAAAAAGGGAGAAATTTTCCCAGGAATTAGCTTGCAACTCTCCCCGGCCAGAATTCACCCCCTGGCGGCTCTCCCCGTTCCCTCTCTCGCCGGTTAGGTGGCTCACCTCCTGAATCTCTCCTGGAGCCGCCGCATGGGGGTCCAGTCCGCCCGCCTCCTGTAGAGCCGGGGGTCGGCACGGGGGGCTCCTGGCGGCTCCTGAAGCGGCGAGGGCCGCAGTCCGGGCCCTCATTGGCTTGCCAGCCCCGGGCGGAGGTAGCTGGAGGAGGCGAGGCGAGAGGAAGCCAGGCCCGGGCTGTCGTGAGCCGCGTTTCGGGTGCGTGCAGCAGGAGCGCCGAGCGGGCGGCTGAGCGGAGAGGTTCCCGCTCTGAGCGGCGCCGTCGCCGACTCCGCTCTTTCTTGCAGCCCGCCGCCCGGCCTCGGATGCGGCCCGCCCCCAAGATCAGTCGATGCTGGGGCCGGGGAGAGGCCCCGCCTCCCTCAGAGAGCCGCCAGTTGGGTGGGTATGAGCGAGGGCGAGGAGGAGGGAACCCGCGGGAGAACAATGGGCGGGAAGCGGTGCGGGGCTATGGCGGGCGGGAAACCGGGGGAGGAGGAGGGGGGCGGGGGGTGTTAGGAGGCAAAAGAGAAATGCATCGACCTCGCTGCCTGTACCCCAAATATCCAGTCGAGGTGGAGGAGGAGGAAGGATGAATCATGATACTGACCTCTCGCCCCTGCCCTCTTTCGGCAGAGAGCTGCCGGAGGCATCTTTCTGATCTGTAAGGGGGCGATGCAAGACACTCCCCCCCGCCCCCGGCACTCGCTCCCTTTCAGTTGCAATCTTTTGGGTAAGAGAAAATATGGTCGCATCAGCTTTTTGTCGGGCCGCGGAAGCGCGCGCAAAAAGGTGGCGCAGTTAAAGAGGAACATGGATCGAGCGCTTTCCGGGCATGTCCTCTCTCCACCACCCCTGTCTCACGACATATGGCTGCTCTTTGCCTCAAGGCCAGCCGCCCCTTAGGCAGACATGCACGCTGTGCTGGTCCTTCCCAAACTGTGTGGTGTGCTCTATTCTATCTCTGTTCATGTGAACTCATGACTGAAGTAAGAGAGCTAGTAAAATTGGGAGATGGAGGTATGCATATTTATTTTTACCATGTGAGAAATAATGCATACGAAAATGTATATTTGCAAATGTGCTCAGAATAAGGATTCAGTTCCTTCTTTGGGGGGGGGGGAATCTAGTGCTTGCTCATGCATTAAAAATATTATAATATCAGTAGTAAGACACAGGAAGGGTGTAGTGTTAATACCCAGTCTATTTTTATCTTATTTAAAGACTTAGGTCTTGCCCTTTTCCAGTAAGAGATAACAGGAAGTTACTAGAATCAATGCAATAAAACTAAAAAACCAGCTAAAGGGTTTGGGGGGGGGGGTTGGCAAACAAAAGTATTTAATCCCATCCCACAAACAATGCCACCGTCTGGTCCAAAATTACTGGAGGAATTTCAATTATTGCGGCCCAATGATGTGGACAAGGTGCTTGGAAGAGTACGTCCCACCACTTGCCTATTGGATCCTTGCCCGTCTTGGTTAATAAATAACTCCAAGCACGGGATTGGGACCTGGATCTTGGAAGTGGTTAACGCTTCTCTGAGGGAGGGTCGAGTGCCTGCCCCTTTAAAGGAGGCGGTAATACGACCGGTCCTGAAGAAAGCGTCACTGGATCCAGAGATGGCCACTAACTATAGACCTGTGGCCAACATCCCGTTTCTGGGCAAGGTGTTGGAGCGAGTGGTGGCGGGACAACTCCAAGCACTCTTGGATGAAACTGATTATCTGGATCCTTTTCAGTCCGGCTTCAGACCCGGGTACAGTACTGAATCTGCCTTGGTCGCCCTGTACGACGACCTGTGCAGGGAGAAGGATAGGGGGAGTACATCCCTGTTGGTTCTTCTGGACCTCTCGGCAGCTTTCGATACCATCGACCATGGTATCCTTCTGGATAGACTTGCGGGATTGGGGGTTGGAGGCACTGCTTTGCAGTGGTTCCGCTCCTATCTCGACGGTCGATTCCAGAAGGTAGTGCTGGGGGACCAAGTCTCTACGTCATGGCAGCTATGCCATGGGGTACCACAGGGCTCCATTCTATCCCCTCTGCTATTTAACATCTATATGAAACCGCTGGGAGAGGTCATCAGGAGGTGTGGGCTGTGGAATGATCAATACGCTGGTGATACCCAGCTTTACCTCTCGTTTTCCACTAATCCAGGTGAGGCAGTGGCTGTGCTGAACCGCTGCTTGGCCGAGGTAAGGGAATGGATGAGGGCCAATAAACTGAAACTCAACCCAGACAAGACGGAGGTCCTGTTGGTTGGCGGATCGGGTTTCGGAGGGGGTGGATTTGACCTGGTCCTGAATGGTGCAACACTCCCTCTTAGGGATAAGGTTCGCAGCTTAGGAGTACTCCTCGACCCGGAGCTTTCTTTGGAAGCTCAGGTGACAGCGGTAGCGAGGAACGCCTTCCTTCAGCTTCGGCTGATTAATCAGCTGCGCCCCTACCTGGAGTACGACTGCCTGGCGACGCTGACACACGCGCTGGTGACTTCCCGCCTAGACTTCTGTAACGCGCTTTACGTGGGGCTTCCCCTGAAGACAGTCCGAACACTTCAATTGGTGCAAAATAGAGCTGCCAGGTTGCTGACGGGGACGGGGCGTTATGCTCACATGACTCCAGTCCTCCATCAGCTTCACTGGCTTCCCATTGAAGCCCGGGCCCAATTCAAGGTGTTGATTATGACCTACAAAGCCCTAAACAGCTTGGGTCCTGGCTACCTGAACGAGCGCTTACGTCCGTATATGCCCGACCGCCATTTGAGATCTGCGGGAGAGTCCCTTCTCCAGGAACCCTCCATGAAAGAAATTAGGAGAGTAAGTACCCGGAGGAGGGCTTTCTCTGCGGTGGCGCCCAACCTATGGAATTCACTCCCCAAAGAGGTCCGCCTGGCACTGTCGTTACTGGTTTTTCGGCTCCAGGTAAAGACCTTTTTATTTAAACATCATTTCAATTGTTAAAACATATGATCTGGCCAGGGCAACTTCTTCTTCCTTCTCTTTCTCCTCCTATATTTTTATTTTATACTGATAATTTTAATTTTGTATTTGTAAATCAATGTATTTTTTGTATTGTTATATTTAATGGTAATTTATTATGTACTATTGTATTTCAATGTATTTTATCATGTTGTAAGCCGCCCCGAGGTTTCGGCAAGGGGCGGCATAGAAATGTTATAATAAAAAAAAAACAGAACCCTTCACCAGCACGCGCAAAGGTTGGCTTACGAAGGGCTGTCATTAACAGCCATGTCCTCAACATGCAGTGAAAGTGTTGGAGCCCTATGTGCCTCCCTAGGGAGGGCTTTGAATACTTCACAACTGAAAAGGCCCTATTCCTTATCCCCTCCTAATATGGGCTGAATACATGTAGGAGTGTGTGGATCACTTTCCTACTCCTATGGAGTGTGGTAAGTCTATGGTGCCTGCCCTTTGGAGGCTCTTTCATTTGCAGGGAAACCAATGCTCTTGAGTTGATGTTGTTTAAGGGTGCAGTTACATGCATATTTAGTTGGATGAAAATCCTACAGCTCCAGACTTTCTCCAGCCAGTGGTAGGACATTGGTCTCTCTAAATGGACAAGACAAACACATGCTTTGGAAACTGTGGCAATGCTGCTGTGTTCATTAGAGCCAGGAGTGGCTGCAGCTTTCTTGGAGCAGAACTAGATATTAGGAAGACAGAATTGCTATTTTAAAACAGGTGCTTCGGTGGATGGTTCTAGAATCTAGATGGAGGGCTCCCAGTGCTGCAAAGCACTGCTGCCCTGAGTAAGACAAAAGTGGAATTTCCATTGGTCATGGTAGCATGTTGGCGCATTAGCACAGCATTGTTGGTAGCATTGCTTCTTCCCCTTTCCTGACCCTTCATGGTTGCCCTCTTTTCCAGACATTTTGAAGAAGCTGCTTCTCAGCAGCATTTCATGCACAAAACCATTGGGTGTTAAGAGAGCCTGCTGTTTAGTGGATTGCAGACTTATCTCTGAGTAAATACTATTATGGTTGGTCTGTACATCTGGCTTTTTTCTGTCAGGTTCACAAGCCAACTAGGAAACCATCTAGCTTACTTTTCGAGTCCACTGTTAAGACACCCCTTGTTTTTTCCAGTCACTTTGCTTGCCATCTAGAAAACAGAATTTTGTTACATCCTTAACACTTCCCTTTCTCCAGACATTGGAAGGGACTCCTTTGAGCCATTTTTCTTTAAAAGGAGAGGATACAGTTGAAATTAACAAAGAATGTGACAGTTTCACTTCTATTTCTCTTTAAGTATAAACAGGAGCAGCCATTGCACAATTTCAGCCTGCCACTTGCCACACAGTCAAGTGCTGAATTTTATCTAAGGGCCAGTAAGAGGCTGCACCCACCTCCTCTCTAGATAAACCTCAGAAAGGCATGACACATCCAGAAAGGTTAACATGTTAAAAAAAAAATGGGTGTGTTAATCATTGCTATGACTTCATTTGCTAAAATAGTCGAGACAGGAGCAGGCTAATTGCTCACAAAAGGAATAGGCGGAATAGTAACAGCATATTTTTTTCCGTATACTTCCTACTGGATGGAGAGTGCTCAACCTGTTTTGAGAGGAGATGTACTTCTCCTGAAGGATCATAATTAGATATTTTTCCGAAGCCACAATTGTCATTTGAAGCTCAGATGACATGGAATACCTTCTAACAACTTCAGTTGGTGGGCCAGCTGTGTCCCTATCTGGATAAGGATAGTCTGACCTCAGTCACCTTATGCTGTGGTGACCTCCAGTCTGGATTGTTGCAGTGTTCTGTATGTGGGTCTATCTTTGAAGATGGCTGAGAAGCTGCAGCTAATGCAAAATGTGGTAGCCAGATTGGTAAGAGGGACAAGAGGGTCTATGCATATAACACCAGTTCTGGCCCACTTACACAGGCTGCTTGTACATTTCTGAGCCCAATTTGAGGTGCTAGTTTTGACCTGGAACAGTTAACACATGTTGGGACCACAATACTTGGTTGAGCACTTCTGGTACGATGCTATCTATACATCTTGATCATCATCTAAGGCCTTTCTCTGGATGCTTCTTGCAAAGCAGGTTCGGGAGGTGGCAAGATGGAAGAAGGCCTTGGTGGTGGCCCTGCAATTCTAGAACCCTTTCCAACAAGGCCCGTCTTTTCAATATCAGGAGACCTTCCTCTACTCTCCCTCCTTCTATATGACTTAAGGTTGAGCACAGATTTGAACTCCAAGCAGTTCCAGCAGTGAGTAACCTAATGCTCTCCAAGTGTTTTGGAGTACAGCT